AAGTAATGGAGGACTTTTCAATTGAGAAGATTCAATTATCTGGCACTACATTGGCCTCCCTCATTCACCGTGTCTCTACTGCCACCGACGACCTCACCACTACCATCTCCTCTATCCCCATTTAAACCACACCCAACCACCACCACCACCAAAAATTCCACAAACCCGTTGCCACCACCGCAACACGCCACCACCGCACCACCCACAAAACACCACCACCATCATCATCTCCTCTCTCCATTTAAACCGCACCCAACCACCATCCCCACCAAAAAAACCCACAAACAAGCCGTCACCACCACCACAGCACACTATCACAGCCTACACAATAACCATCTCAAAAACCGCAACAAAACATGTCGAAAAATTTATCAAAAAATCATACGATCTATAAAACCACACAAAAGTCCGTAACACCGCACAAAAAGTCCAAATTGCAGCGTGATCTGAAACACCGAAGAAGAGTTTAGTCCGTATCGCTGCGCCTCAACTCCACCGACGATGTGACCATCCTAGCGCATCCACTTAGGCGAAGAGACAGATCTGTGCATCCACTCTGATGCCGCGCTAACGCTGGAGTTGTCTATCAAGGAAGGGTTGCTGTAGAGAGAGAGAATGGGGGAAGCAGTGATTTTAGAAAGAGAATAAGAAATGTAGAGAGAGAGAGATGAGAGTTGATAGAGAGAGAAGACAGAAATGAGAGTGGGTAGAGAGAGAAGACATAAATTTCTTGGTGTGGGTGGGGTAATGGGGTTAGATGAGTTAAATACGTGTATTCGATTTTGTAAACAAATTTTTATTAGTTTTAATTATTAAAATTTATTTAAGACCTGATTTGTGAAAATGAAACTTAATTTCTTGTTCTTTGAAAATTAATCTTTAAATTCAGGTTTCTAGGTAATTTTCCCTTTAACTTATAAACGACCCGACTCACAAATAAATCAAATATTTGAGTTAATTGCTCTAATAGTCACTGAACTTAGGTCCATATCTTTGATTGACCACTGAACTTTAAAATGTCGAGTTTTGGCTGCTAAACTTTGAAAAATATTGAGTTTTTGTCACCGGACTTAGGTCCATATCTTTGATTGGACATTGAAACTTAAAATGTCAAGTTTTGTTCACTGAACTTAAATCAATGTCTTTGATTGCTCACTGAACTTAGATCTATATCTTAGATTGCCCACTGAAATTTAAATTGTCGAGTTTTGACCACTAAACTTTGGAATATGTCGTACGTTACTCACTAGCATAACTGTTGAATTTTGAAAAATATCGAGTTTACAGTGAATAATGTACAACATTTTTCAAATTTCAGTGAGTAATATTTTTCAAAATTCAGTGAGTAATGTATAATATTTTTCAAAGTTTAGTAAGTAATGTACAACATTTTTCAAATTTCAGTGGCCAAAACTCGATATTATAAATTACAGTGAGCAATCGAAGACATGGACTTAAGTTTGGTAACAAAACTCAACATTTTTCAAAGTTCAGTGACTAAAACTTGACATTTTAAACTTCAGTGGCCAAATAAAGACATGAAGCTAAGTTCAATAACCAAAACTTGACATTCTAAAGTTCAGTGGGCAATCAAAGATATAGACCTAAGTTCAGTAACTATTGAAACAATTAACTCTGGTTTGGTTCATTGGCCAATTTACAATCAAATTTGATTAAAATTTCACTTGACTTTAGTTCATTAGCACATTTCGAATCAAATTTGACTAGGTTTTCAAGCGAATTTTTTCATTGTCGCGTTTCCATTCAAATTTCAGCGGAAATTTCACTGAATTTTGTTAATTGGCGTGTTTCTAATCAAATTTAACTAAAAGTTCACCAGGATTTTATTTGTTAATGTGTTTCCAATTGAACTTGACTAAAATTTCATCTGAATTTTTTTTATTGGCATATTTCGAATCAAATTTGACTAATATTTCAAGCGAATTTTTTCATTGAAGCATTTCCATTCAAATTTGACTAAAACTTCATATGGGTTTGGTTCATTGGCACGTTTCCAATCAAATTTGATTAAAATTTCACCGGAATTTAGTTCATTAGCTTGTTTCTAATCAAAGTTGACTAAAATTTCACAAGAAATTTGTTTGTTAGAGCATTTTCAATCAAATTTGACTAAAATTTCACAAGAATTTTATTCGTTAGAGCATTTTCAATCAAATTTGACTAAAATTTCATCTAAATTTTGTTCATTGACTAAAATTTCACCTGAATTTGGTTTATTGGCGCGTTTCCAATCAAATTTGACTAAAATTTCACCTGAATTTGGTTTATTGGCGCGTTTCCAATCAAACTAAAATTTCACCTGAATTTGGTTTATTGGCCCGTTTCCAATAAAATTTGACTAAAATCTCCTGTGACTTTGTGATTCATTGGCACATTTCGAATCAAATTTTACTAAAATTCAAACTGATTTTTTCGTTGGCACGTTTCTAATCAAATTTGACTAAAATTTCTCATGAGTTTTGTTCATTTGCGCGTTTTTAATCAAATTTGACGAAAATTTAGCCTGAATTTTGTTCATTGGCGTGCGTCTAATCAAATTTGACTAAAATTTCACTAGGATTTTGTTCGTTCGTGCGCTTTAAATCGAATTTGACTAAAATTTCATCTGAATTTTGTTCACTGACGCATTTCTAATCAAATTTGATTAGAATTTCACACGACTTTGGTTTATTAGCACATTTCGAATCAAATTTGACTGAACTTTCAAGCAGATGTTTTCATTGGCGCGTTTTCATTCAAATTTGACTAAAATTTCACATGAGTTTTGTTCGTTGGAGCGTTTCCAATCAAATTTGACTAAAATTTCATTCTGATTTTTTCGTTGGGGCGTTTCAAATCAAATTTGACTAAAATTTCGCATGGATTTCGTTCATTGACGTATATCAATTAAAATTTGACTAAAATTTCATCTTAATTTTGTTCGTTGGCATGTCTCCGAACAAATTTTATTAAAATTTCTCATGGATTTGATTCATTGGCGTGTTTCCATTAAAATTTAACCAAAACTTAACCGGAATTTAGTTCATTGGCATGTTTCCAATTAAATTTGACTAAAATTTCATTTTAATTTTGTTCATTGGGGCTTTTTTAGTCAAATTTAGCTAAATTTCACCTGTGTTTGGTTTATTGGCCCGTTCCCAATCAAATTTAACTAAAATTTTATATGTCTTTGGTTCATCGGCACATTTCGAATCAAATTTAACTAAACTTTCAAACAGATTTTTTTGTTGGCGTGTTTCCATTCAAATTTGACTAAAATTTCGCCTGAGAATGGGCTTGTATCAAATCAAATGTGACAAAAATTTCGTTTGAATTTTGTTCATTACCGAGTTTCGCATCAAATTTGGCTAAAATTTCACATGGGTTTAGTTCATTGACGCGATTCCAATCAAATTTGACTAAAATTTCATCGGAATTTTTTTAATTGGCTCGTTTTTAATCAAATTTGACTAAAATTTCCCAATGATTTTGTTCGTTAGTGCGTTTCAATCAAATTTGACTAAAATTTTATCTGAATTTTGTTCGTTGGCGAGTATTCAATCAAAATTTACTACTATTTTCCATGGTTTGGTTCATTGGACGTTTCCATTAAAATTTAACTAAAATTTCACTGGGATTTAGTTCGCTAGTGTGTTTCTAATCAAATTTAACTAAAATTTCAACGAGATTTAGTTCACTAGCGTGTTTTCAATCAAATTTAACTAAAATTTCACCAGGATTTTGTTCGTTAGTGCATTTCACACCAAATTTGACTAAGATTTCATCTAGATTTTGTTCATTGGCGTCTTTTCAATCAAAATTGACTAAAATTTCACTTAAATTTAATTCATTGGCCCGTTTCCAATCAAATTTGATTGAAATTTCACTAGGATTTAGTTAATTGGCACGTTTCTAATCAAATTTGACT